TCACTGGTAGGTCTTTCAGGGTGGCTTGGGGAGGGGCGGTATCCAAAGCACATCAACTTGTCACTGGGGTTCCTCAGGGATCAGTTCTTGGACCCCTCCTCTTCTCCATATACACAACTTCACTGGGTCCCATCATACAGGCACATGGCTTCTCCTACCATTGCTATGCTGATGACACACAGCTCTATCTCTCGTTTCAACCAGATGATCCAACGGTAGCTGCACGGATCTCAGGCTGCCTGGCAGACATCTCGGCATGGATGAAAGAATATCACCTACAGCTCAACCTGGCAAAGATTGAGCTTCTTGTCTTCCCTGCCACTCCAACTCTACAGTATGATTTTTCCATCCAGCTAGGTTCTTCTACAATTACCCCATCAACTTTGGTCAGAAATCTTGGTGTAACTTTTGATAACCAGCTGACCTTCAAAGACCACATTGCAAAGACCGCTCGATCTTGCAGGTTTGCATTGCACAACATCAGAAAGATCAGGCCCTTTCTAACGGAGCATGCTGCACAACTTCTTGTCCAGGCCCTTGTCATCTCTAGGCTGGACTACTGCAATGCTCTTCTGGCTGGACTTCCATCAAGCACAATCAAACCTCTACAAATGACTCAGAATGCAGCGGCACGACTGGTCTTCAACGAGCTCAAAAGAGCCCATGTTACACCTCTCTTTATCTCCTTGCACTGGCTACCGGTTGCGGCCCGAATCAAGTTCCAGACATTGATGCTTGCATATAGAACAGCCACAGGCTCAGCACCCGCCTACTTCCACTCACTACTACGAATTTACATCCCCTCCAGAAGTCTGAGATCCGCTAGTGAGCGACGCCTCGTGGTACCATCACAGAGAGGCTCAAAATCACTTTCCAGAACATTCTCGTTCACCACTCCTGGCTGCTGGAACGATCTTCCCACCCCTATCCGGAATGCTGAATCCCTGACAATTTTCAAGCGACAGCTGAAAACTCATCTCTTTCGAAGCTACTTGACTTCATCATAAAAAAAAAAAAAAAAAAAAAAAAAAATTCTCTCTTTATTTATTCCTTCTCTTTCTAGCTTGTACTTATTTGAACAATGTCTAAGAACTTGGTATTACAACCACTTCTTGTGTCTGTTTGCCTCTTTTAAGAAGAATCGCTTTATGTATCCCCCAATTGTAAGTCGCTTTGGATAAAAGCGTCTGCTAAATGACTAAATGTAAATGTAAATGTAATACACTGTGTGTATTGTCCGTATCTCAGAAGATCAAAGTGTCTGAGGTTCTTCAAGTCTTACACCATTCTTTGATTGTTACATTTATCATGCTGGAGTGTAAACAAAATTCACATTCTTGTTTTGTGGAATAATTAGATGAAATATAACAAAGTCTGAGGTAAATTCTGGCTTATTCTTTATTTTGTGTCTTCTAAAAACGATAAAAATGAGATGAATCCTGCTGCTTTGTTTATAGAGGTGATAGAGCATTTGCATGTCAGCGTGTCTCACGTAGATGATTACCAGATGAATAGGCTGCCCTGAACGTGGGTGTTACCACTTTACAGATAATGAGCTCAGACGGGAAAAACTGTACCTCATGTTGGTTTCATACAAATTACATTTGATATTGTGCTTTTTGAATAAAAGCATTCATTTCCATTTAAAGCACACCCCCCCCAAACATTTGAATAGTAGTATATCATGGTTCTGCATAAACATGAAGCCGCACAACTGTTTTCAACATTGATAATAATCTGAAATGTTTCTTGAACAGCAAATCAGCATATTAGAATTCAATTCAAGTTTATTTGTATAGTGCTTTTCATGACACAAATCGTTGCAAAGCAGCTTTACAGAAAATTAAGTTTCTACAATATATTTAGCAGTAGCTTGTCAGTGGTGAGTGACTGTCAATTTAATGTACATATGGCAGAAATGTACGGTAAAATTCAGTTAATGATGTAATCAAACAGACGATGAACACTATTAACAGCAATTATTATTATTATATGATGCAATCAAACTTCTAGCAAAATGTGGTAGTTCTGTATGTTGTTTCAGGGTTGGCATCATCTGAGGTCCTCTGAGGGGTTGCATCATCTCTTCTCAGGTGTTCTGGATCCAGACTGAAGCTTGTGTAAATCCTAGTTACCACGGGATGTCAATCCCAGCAGAAACAGAGAAACACATAGAGACATAATTAGCGTAGCTGCTGTTCCAACCAAGCAAAATTGATTTGTTTAACCCAAACTAAATCTGGATCCAGACTGAAGCTTGTGTGAATCCTAGTTACCACGGGATGTTAATCCCGTGGCAAAAGACAGAGAAACAAATACAAACATAATTAGCGTAGCTGCTGTTCCAACCAAGCAAAAATGATTTGTTTAACCCAAACTAACGAATAATAATGTGCATTTGATTAGATATAACTGCAGTAAAAGATTATGACTGCAGTAAAAGATTATGAGATGCATTATTTGAATGCTTGGCCAAAGAGATGTGTCTTTAATCTAGATTTAAACAGAGAGAGTGTGTCTGAACCTCAAACATTATTAGGAAGGCTATTCCAGAGTTTGGGAGCCAAATGCGAAAAGCTCTACCTCCTTTAGTGGACTTTGCTATCCTAGGTACTACCAAAAGTCCAGAATTTTGCGACCTTAGGGAGCGTGATGGATTGTAGCGTGGTAGAAGACTAGTTAGGTACGCAGGAGCTAACCCATTAAGGGCCTTATAGGCAAGTAATAATATTTTGTAACTGATACGGAACTTAATAGGTAGCCAGTGATAGGTAGCCAAAATTGGGGTAATATGATCATATTTTCTTGACCTGGTAAGGACTCTAGCCGCTGCATTGTGGACTACCTGTAGCTTGTTTATTGAAGATGCAGGACAACCAGCTACCAGTGCATTACAATAGTCCAGTCTAGAGGTCATGAATGCATGAACTAGCTTTTCTGCATCAGAAACAGGTATCATGTTTCGTAACTTGGCAATGTTTCTCAGATGGAAGAATGCCATTTTTGTAACATGGGAAATATGATTTTCAAAAGACAAGTTGCTATCTAATATAACACCCAGATGTTTGACTGTAGAGGAAGTAACCGTACATCCGTCTAGTTGCAAATTGTAATCCACGAGATTCGGCGTACTGTCTTTTGGTCCAATAAGTAATATCTCTATCTTATCTGAATTCAATAGGAGAAATTGATTGGTCATCTTTTACATTTTTAACACACTCGGTGTCACGGCTCGGTTCAGGAAAAACACAGTGTAAGCAAGGGTCTGGGTCCAAGTGCAGGCTTTTATTAAGCAGTAGGGGAAAACAAAGGTAAAAACCAAAACAGAAAACAAACAGAGCTAAGACTCTGAGACACAGGCTTGAGACAAGGAAGGGAATCTGATGCAATACGGCCACGTAGAGCTTGCATCAGTCCATGCATCACAGCTCGTACAACCACTAGTGACACTTACTACAACTATCATTAATAATCCGCCCAGAGTGGCATGGGAAAGGCGCATAATTAGCCCTCAGGATGGGCCACAGCTGTGTGTGAGAGAGTGTGTGCACAGGTGTGTGGAGTCAAGGTGACGGAGTTCCGGATGGGCAACAGCTGTGTGAGTGTGTGCACAGGTGTGTGGCGTCAAGGTAACGGAAACGGAGTCCAGGAGGATGGGAAATGGCGACCTCTGGTGGTGACAGGGAGCACACCAGACGCCAGACCCTGACACTCGGTTAGCTTAGATAATTTAGAAGTTTCATCTGGTCTTGTTGAGATATATAGTTGAGTATCATCAGCATAACAGTGGAAACTAATCCCGTATTTTCTAATAATATTACCAAGGGGCAACATGTATATCGAAAATAGCAGAGGACCTAGGACAGATCCTTGTGGCACTCCATATTTTACTGGTGATAATTGAGACAACGTTTAAATTAACAAAATGGTAGCGATCGGACAGGTAGGATCTAAAC